TAGGTTTCCAATCCAAACTTCATTTACCAACTGCCACGACAGCATTACTGGACAGCCTGTTAACGGTTTGCAGGGTCTGGTCTCAGTCCAGCTTCTAGTGAAGAAATACACGCTTCATAAAAGCCCTTTGCTTAACTGGTCCACTAAGTAACCAAGGTAAGGCAGTTTTTAATTTTAACAGTGAATCTTTTTGTCTCGAACTTGGCAAGTTTTGGGTTTGCATGTAGATAAATGGCTAAAATGCAGGTGAAGTTCAAGGGAATTTGGCACCTTTTTCAGGAGTTCTTGGGAGATCACCAAGATCTTTAGCACACCTCACAAGAAATCAGTCCTGTCCCTTTTCAGCATCTACACAGTTAGAATTGATTCAGTTAAGCTTTGAATCCTGCCTTTCCATCAGAATTACAAGTATGGAAAGAAAAAAGATACCTTGTATCCCAAGTCAGGCAGTGCAGATTGATCCCAGTGGCTAGGACAGGCTTGATTTGGAATAGAAGAATCCCTCTGGCTGTGTGCAAACAGACAGAAAATTAAGTAATTAGTAAGTCTAGTACTGCTCTGAACATTCAAATTTGCAGCATGCCCTTTGGCTAATTCCCGCATTTAAAAATTAACAAGATAAACCACGAAGAAACTGGGAAATGGCCTCAGACTGTGAGCTGGGCTTTGCATGATGCCACTCCACTGTCACAGGCCTCTTGCACTTGCTTTTCTAAGTAACAACTGTGGACGCAGTACCCGCAGTAACAAGTACCCCAGATGCCAGGTGATGCACCAAGCCAACAGTTTGTGATACAGCCTCTGTTCAGTGCCAGGGATGTGCTTCCTCCCTCAGCAGCTGTGTTCTTTGCACAACTACTGCCAGCACTGGCTGCCATTTTGCCCTATAATCACTTCTGAAATATGAAAAAACAACAACATAAAGAGCATAATTTACCCTTTCTTTATCTTCTGCACATCTTCAGAAGACACAAATTTTGGTCTCCTGCAGACCTCTCTTCGAGTTTTAAAAGCAATGTTTGTCTGGGTCATTTCTTGAGGAGAAAAAGAACAGGAAAAAAAATCATGAATAAATCTACAGGATAGGGTCATTAATTAAGGACAGGCATTCTTTAATAGAAAGTGCATATTCATTACCAATTCTACCTGCTGAAGTTGCATAAAGCCTATGTAAGCTTGTCCTTCCTGTAACTGTGATTGAACCTGTGCCTATCTTGCTTGCTCCCTCAAGCCCCTCATGCTCTTTAAATGTTACTCCAGCAGCACAAAGATGGCTTGATTTGTATTTTTTACCATCCACAGAGTTAATTCACTTTACTTAAGGTTTACTATGACTTTATGTGAAGACTATGAATCTTTTTATTTCTGGTCATATGTGAGTCTGGAGAGTGTCAAGGAATAAGGGGGAAGAAGGTTATTTTTGTAAGGAATTTTCTCTGGACGGTCACTACCTCACTTCCCCTTCCAATAAGTGAAATGGTAGTGTCAGGAAAGGAAGTCATAGCTTCTAAAAGCTGGGAGAGTTTGCAAGTTAAGTCTTCGTACAGCACTGCATAGTTGTATGTGAGAATGAGTACCTTTAAAATTGAGGTTGTAATGATGCTGACCAGCCTGGAAAGATATGGTGGCATCTGGATCTGCTTGATACAAATTCTCAAGAACAGCAGAAGATGGCGAGTCCACACTGTCCCCTTCTCCCTTTGTGGGAAGAGGAGAAAAAAAGAGAGAGAAGGAAGAGTATCACAGTCAGGATTAAACCCTGGATAACTAGGTTGGGTAGAGGGAAAGAAGAGGCAAAGAATAGGATGAAGAGGAATCTACTCAGAACTCTGGTGGCCTGAAGCATGCATGATTAAGGAACATTCATAACATAGACACAAATACATAAGTAGTAATGACAGACAGGAGTGTATCCTCTAAGAAGCTGTGTTGGTTTGGGCTGGGGTAGAGTTACATTTCTTCCCAGTAGCTGTAGGGGCCGTGCTTTGGGTTTGTGCTGGATAAGTGCTGGTAACACAGGGATCTTTTAGTTCTTGCTGAGCAGGGCCTGCACAGAGCCAAGGCCTTTTCTGCTCCCCACCCGCCCCACCAGCGAGGGGCTGGGGGGCACAAGGACTTGGGAGGGGACAGGACAGGACAGCTGATCCCAGCTGGCCACAGGGACATCCCAGACCACGTGGGGTCATGCTCAGCACATAGAGCTGGGGGAGAAGGAGGAAGGGGGGATGTTGGAGTGATGGTGTTCATCTTCCCAAGTCACCGTGACCGTGGTGGAGCCCAGCTTTCCTGGGATGGCTGAGCACCTGCCTGCCATGGGAAGGGGGGGATGAATCCCTTGTTTGTCTTTGCTTGTGTGCATGGCTTTTGCTTTATCTCTTAATCTTTATCTCATCCCACCAGTTTTCTCACTTTTACCCTTCTGATTCCCTTGCCAGTCCCGTGGCAGGGGAGGG